GGGAGAGGCGGTGGCGAGCGTGAGCGCGAGGTCGCTAACTCCAGCGGCGAGGCGCGCGGACGCGGGCGCGGCGCGGGCGGGCTGGCGAGGGGCGGGCTCCAAGCTTGGGTTTGGGCCCTCCTCTGCACCCCGCCGTCTGCTGGTGAAGTTTCGGTCCTGTGTTTAAAGACTAACCCCAAGCGCGTGGCTGAGTGTGAGCGAGCGCGTGTGACGTCGGGAGGCGCCGTGGCTTAACCGAACCGCCCCGGTCGGCTGTCCCTTGTCTGGACCAAAACTGCTGACTAGCTGACCCTGGCGGTCACATTTGCCCTCTGGGGTTTTTGAAAACCTTAAATCAAAGTTGCTTTTCTCCCTGGCAACTCCCGAGGCTCCTTCCGCGGCCTCTGGGCTGTGAACAGATAAGGACGCGAGTTTCCCCGGCCAGGTACTTAACCGCTGGCGATCGGAGGGTCTGAGAGGTCGGCCACCATACGACTTTCGCTTTGCTCTAAATCAATTATTTCCATTTGGCCACTGGGGCTGTGAATAGTAGGGCCCTCTGAGTAACCCATGGGCTGGGGTTGGGTCTGGGTATTTCAGGACACAATTTTAGTAGTTTTTCAAGTTCGAGTTTTTTCGGGTTTGGAGTGTCCGGATAATTGCAATTCTCCACTCCCCCTGGTGCATGCAGTCGCAGCAGTAGAGTTAAGTAGAATCCTGGACGTGAAAAAAAGCGCGTTGGAAATTGAATTTATTTTCTAAAGTACGAATTCGTGTCCAGTTTTTAGCGCATTGTACAACGTGGGTTGTAAAATCTCTGGATGTGCTTTCACAACATGTTTTCAAGCTGCTCTTTCCCTGCATGCGCTGCAGTGCCTGAATTTTTGAACAGGCTATGCCGGTGTGCTTCTGGAGGGCAGGAACTGAGCAGACCGAGCCGGGGAGCCTCGGCACCCGGCGGGCGGCGGGTTGGTGGGGGTCGAGCCGGAGATTCCCCTCGTTGCGCCGGGACAGCTCCGGGCTTGGTGGAGAAAAGCTTTCGAGAAAGGGGCGTCTGTCAGTTATCACAACCCTCGGCCACGGACGGAGTCATATTTTGGGGAGGATCTGCTTAGGGCACCCCTTTGACACTCCATTCTCTCCGCGCAAGACCGACGCGGGGCGGAGAGGAAAAGAGGAAAGGATGCGCGGTGAAAAGACCCGGCCCGGGCGGGGGTTGGGCTTGGGGAGAGCGGGAAGGACCTGCAGCCAGCGTGTTAAGCCCTCATTAAAACACAAAACCCCTTCCCCACACGCCGTCGTCTCTTTTGTGCTGTCCCCACCGCGGTGCCTGCAATAACCGTGTGACAGAAACCTGAAACGTTCCATCCCGATTTCTGAAACTTAACCCCGGGCAAAGTACACAGTTGGCGGCGGCCGGGCGGGGCTTGGTGGGGCTGGACCGGGTCAGCTCAGGACGGCGGGGCCGCGGGGGACGGTGACCCTCCAGCTCGGCTGTGGGCCTCAGGGCGGGTGGCCGGCCCTCTCGGGTCTCCCGGCCTCTGCTCGCCGCTGCGCCGGCGGCCAGAGCGCGCTGCGCTGAGCGGAGCCGGCCCGCATCCCACCCCCTCCGACCTCCCTTGACGCCAGCCGCTCGCGGTCCCCGCGCCCTCCGAGTGATGAGCCCGACGCGCGCGAGGTGCCCGCTCTACCTCCAAGGCGGAGGTGCCAGTGGCCAGTCTGCACAGGCCACAGGGGAGCGCGTCGCGTCCGGCCTGGCGCGAACTCGACCTTCACAACTCGACCTTCAGCGAGGGCTGCACAGTTTTCTGAAAGCGAACGCCTACAGGTGCAATTAACATTTGCCACGCGAGCAAATTAGCGGGCGCTTGCAAACGTCGGAGGCAAAACCTGAGATCGTCTTGAAAAAAAAATTGAGTTCTGTCTCACTATACTAGTGTATTTGATTACAATAATTGCGAAAAATTGCAAAGAGGGAAATGGTTTGCTTACAAAAAAGTAGCAACTGGTTAAAGTTTTTCCATATTTGTCTTTGAAGACAACCGCTGTACCATGTTGGAAAGAAAAATATAGCAGGGACGTTCGAAGAGCACACGCGGATTTCGTGTAGCTTAAAGATACTTTTTAATCAAAGAGGGTCATATTTTAAAAGCGTTTAGAACAGTGCCTGGTACATGGTAAGCGCTATATGGCTGTTAAATACACAAGAATGCAAAGGGCAAAAGACCTCGGCGTTTTGAACACTATCAAAAGAATAATATGCTCACTTATCTGCAAAATACTTAATCGCAATTAGGCAGCACGAGATTTTTCAATTAGGTCTTTTATTCTTCTCAAGTATTCCATTTGCCTATCCCCTGGTTAGGCGCCTGCTCTGGTCTGTCTTCCACTGAAAGTGCCTCTTGGATCAGAGGGAGAAACAGAGGGAGGAAACTCTTTAAAACGCCGGAGAAAACTTAAAAACGGTCATGGATGGTCGGGGGGCGGGGGGAAGGTGTGGGGGTGGCGTATGCCGAGAGAGAGAAAAGAGAGAATGAGAGGAGATCGGCGGGATTTCAAGCCTCATCGCCCCTCAGCGACATCCTTTTCAGCGAAAGTTGGTTGAAGGCTTGCTAAGAGCCCGGGCAGAAGAAAAGATGTCCGCGCGCAGAGCAATCCAAAGTTCTTTTCTTTTCAAAGATTTGTACAATGAGATAATTAGACCAAAGGATACGAGGGACTTTCCTAGAAACGAAATGCCGTTAGAAAAGAAAGCCCAGGACCACAGATCTAAAGGGAATGGAGGAGGGGAGAATCGTCCGCCTTCCCGAAATTGATCGTCTCGCCTGTGTTTTGCGCATCTACGATTTAACTCACTTAAAGGCGCGACAGTGAGATGATGAATGCCGAGATCTGGAAGCATCGCACTCGGTGGTCTTGATTCCCCTCTCTCTCCCCCCAAACCCGTTTAACATAAAGTTACAGTTCTTGCACCTGTATTTATAAGTCTGGCAATCTTGATCTACTATTATCTTGTCCCACAAAATTTGAGTTTTGTGGCACAGATTAATGAAGTGATTACTTGGCTGTAATTCTAAAATTTCCCTTACAGCATTTTGGGAATGAACCTGGGATCTTTATTTTATTCTACTTGGTCTGCTTTTTCCTTCATTAGAGCACTCTGATTTTTCAAGATCAAAAGTCACACTTTTTTATTTGTGGCTTCTCTGAATCCTTTGAGATGCTGCTTACAATTACTTAAAAAGTGTTGGCCACTCCAGTGTTTGGCTTCTCTTAGAAAGTCACCAAGGCGTGACACCACTTTAAAAAATGTTTTAACTTAGTTTCTCAGTGAAATATAGGCAGCTGCTATTTAAAGACCTTTATGTTAGTCTGAGAAGCCTAAGTGCACATAGTTCAAATTGAAAAGTCCAATAATTTGCCCCATCTGAAATAGGATAATTATTTACACAGCTTTCTCTTGCAAAGGGAAGACAAGCAGGTTGCCCTGAGAAATGCTAGTCTATTTGCGATTGCTGGGGCAGGTGACAAGCTCGTGGGTCTTTGGGCAGCATTGTTGGGCTGCCTTCCTTCTCTACGAGGGCTATTGGGAGCTGGCAAGCTCTAAAGTGTGTGAGAAAGCTGAATCCTACAAGTGGAGGCCAAGGACAAGATCCTTGTAAATTTCAATACCTTTCTTGACATCAGGCTGGCAGCAGGCAGGCCACCCTAGGGGCCCTGTGCAACACATATTTGCAAGCCAGTAAAGCAAAACAAAGCTGAAAGCAAGGGCAAATTTAGGCCCACCAACCTTGAAGTCATCTATAAAAGGAAACTGCTTTACCAAGTTAACACTTATTCTTGCCTGGCCAGCCATGCGAAGTGCATCATATTTCTTGGCTTGCCCCGGTAGGTGCTACTTATTTGTTACATCAGAAACTCCAAGGTAGGAAATCTTAGACCCAAAGCCCCCTTTCCTGGAAGTTAGAATGTTTAAATTGACATCTGTTATTACGGGGTAATTTATTTAAAAGCTTTTATTTCATGAGTGGTGTTATTACTGCTTAGCACATGCCCAAGGATGAAGGCTGGTTTTATTGCCAAACCTGTGAGAAGAGGGTTGTATAATTAAGTAACCTGTTTTCTATTCTCCTGTAAGCAACAGTCAAAAGATAACTACACTCACTATATTAACTTCTTCTTTGTGAAAGTTAAATTGATGTTGGCAAGCTTTTCTTTTAAGGAAATTCTGTTTTCTTGAAGTTGGTTTGATTGGCAGATTTTTTTTCCCTCTCTTAAGGATACAGTTAGGTATATTCACTTCTTTCATGAAAAATCATCTTTTAACTAACTACATCCCCATCCTCTAGAATAGTGCCTGACACGTAGTGGTAAACAATAAATGGATTGGAATGAATTTCTTGTTGAAATTAATGACCTCCCAGCTTCTTTCCATACATACAGAATTTAGATACACTGGCGTAATAAAATAGAAATAAACAACCACGAACTAAAAAACCATGAAAAAATGAAGAGACTATGCTTAAATATGAGCAGGAAAGCATTTACTGTGAATGGGCCCTTAGTTCAGCCCTGAGCTTCCTGGCAGCCAAGTCAGAAAGAGAAACATAGTTTTTCTAATTTTTGTAATCAGAAAAGAGGAAGCACATTGTTTTTCAGAAAAGAAAAATTTTATCCAGCTGCTGAATTCTAAAGGAAA